CGCCGTGAAAATATCGCGACCGAAGGTTTGGGCACTGTTTGGCCTCTGGAGTTCCTCCTCCTCGCCCTCCACGAGGCCGTCGTGCCTCGCAGGGGCCCGCTTCAAAAAGCTGCGGTCGCGGGCCGAACATTGAGGACTGGCATCTGCCATCGCTCGGACGTCCATTCCCTGTGTTTTTTTCGGTTTCGTGCGTGGCTTTTTCGCCAAATGATCAAGTATGCTCCTCGATGGTCCTCGAAGAAGGAAAACTGCGCACGTCCGAGCGATGCCAAGGGCATAGGAGGGGACACATCGACCTGGAGTCGGTGACACATCGCCCATAAAAATCGGCGTCAGGCCCACGGTAGTGAATCCGCGCGTTCCTGTGCGGGGCAGGGCTATAAGGTCCCGATCGGCGATCAATGGGCGATTGGGGGTCGCTGCGTCCCACCCCCCTATGCCTATTAAAACAGGGCTAGAATCGGGATAAATCGCTCCAGAGCGTTGCGGAGCGCTCTCAGAGCGTTCCGGAAACCTGGCAAAACTCAGGAGAGACCAGATCCAGACGGCGGAGAGAAAGTCCGGGCGGAGACCAGGCACCCCGGTATGGACTTTATCTCCGTGGACCTCGCCTCCTGTCAGGAGGAGCCGAATCCAGACAGGATGGGTCCATGCGGAGACCGACCGCTCCGTGTGGACTCACTCGTATGGACGCATCCTCCACCGACAAGGCCGAACCTGGAATCGGAAGCGGGGCCCGAGCCGGGACCAGAAGCGGAACGAGGACAAGAACCACCGCTTTGCCTGTATACTGGGCGGCGCACGCGGCGGCGGGACCTGGAGCCTCCTCGCCGCCCGGGGCGCGGGGCCCCGACTTAGGTCGGGCCTGTCCCCCTGCAGTCCGTTTTTCGAGGGAAACTGAGAAATGGTCAAGCAATGCTCAACCCTTTCCCCCCAAAAGACACAATCAAAAGTCGTCCCCAGACTTTGTTTTGAAACTATGTTTGGGCACTCTCCCTGTGAAGGGACAGGCCCGACTTAATTTTACCTGTGCCGGGCGGCGCACGCGGCGGCGGGAACTTGCAGCGTCCTGGCCGCCCGGGGCGCGGGGCCCCGACGTCGAGCTCTCGGCGCCCGCGGGGCTCGGAGCGTGGCGAGGGTCAGGTCGGGCATGTCCCCCTACAGCGGGATTTTGGACGAAAATCAAGGGCAGCAGCGTGGAATAGGGATTCCCCGCTGCAATGTCCCGGCGGAGAACCGCGGGCCACGCGGGGGCTCGTCGTCGGGCCCTCCGCCAGTGGCTCCTCCTTCTTCTCCTTGTCGTCCCCCGCCCCCAATCGACCCCCTTGAAACCCTGCGGGGGGCAGTCCCACGAGCGTGGCCGAAATGTGGCTGAGGCAACTCCACTCGCCTGAACCCCCCCGGGAGAAACGATCAGAAGGGGGGTTGCACTCGAATGCGCGACGACCTTGCGCGGTGGCTCACGCAGGCCGCTCGCGCGGCAGACGCGCGAACTTACGAGGGCGGCATGCGCGCGAGTGCCCGCGCAATCGACCCCCTTGAAACCCTGCGGGGGGCAGTCCCACGAGCGTGGCCGAGACGTGGCTGAGGCAATTCCACTCGCCTGACCCCCCAGGGAGAAACGATCAGAAGGGGGGTTGCACTCGATTGCGCGACGACCTTGCGCGGTGGATCACGCAAGCCGCTCGCGCGGCAGACCGCATTAAGGCGCCTACGCGCCACCTTCCGCGGGCAGCTTACGCACAAGTGCACGCGCAATCGACCCCCTTGAAACCCTGCGGGTGCGCCCTCCCGCGGGCGCTTTGAAATGTGTCGCCCGGTTGCGGTTGCGGTTGCGGTTGCGCGCTCCCGCGGGCGCTTTGAAATGTGTCGCCCAGTTGCCGTTGCGGTTGCGGTTGCGCGCTCCCGCGGGCGCTTTGAAATGTGTCGCCCGGTTGCGGTTGCGGTTGCGCGCTCCCGCGGGCGCTTTGAAATGTGTCGCCCGGTTGCGGTTGCGGTTGCGCGCCCGCGGGCGCTTTGAAATGTGTCGCCCGGTTGCGGTTGCGGTTGCGAGCCCGCGGGCGCTTTGAAATGTGTCGCCCGGTGCGGTCGCGGTTGCGGTTGCGCGGCCGCGGGCGCTTTGAAATGTGTCGCCCGGTTGCGGTTGCGGTTGCGCGCTCCCGCGGGCGCTTTGAAATGTGTCGCCCGGTTGCGGTTGCGGTTGCGCGCTCCCGCGGGCGCTTTGAAATGTGTCGCCGGGTTGCGGTTGCGGTTGCGCGCTCCCGCGGGCGCTTTGAAATGCGTCGCCCGGTTGCGGTTGCGGTTGCGCGCCCGCGGGCGCTTTGAAATGTGTCGCCCGGTTGCGGTTGCGGTTGCGGTTGCGCGCTCCCGCGGGCGCTTTGAAATGTGTCGCCCGGTTGCGGTTGCCCGCGCGCCCGCGGGCGCTTTGAAATGTGTCGCCCGGTTGCGGTTGCGGTTGCGCGCTCCCGCGGGCGCTTTGAAATGCTTTGAAATGTGTCGCCCCGGTTGCGGTTGCGGTTGCGCTTTGTTGTCGCGCTCCCGCGGGCGCTTTGAAATGTGTCGCCGGGTTGCGGTTGCGGTTGCGCGCTCCCGCGGGCGCTTTGAAATGTTGCGGTTGCGGTTGCGCGCTTGCGCGTGCGCTTTGCCGCGGGCGCTTTGACATGTGTCGCCCGGTTGGGTTGCGGTTGCCGCCGCCGGGTTGCGCTCCCGCGGGCGGTTTGAAATGTGTCTCCCGAGCTGTCCCCTGACGTTCAGTCAGTCATCAGTCAGCCGGCGGGCACGGAATTTCACCCGGCTCCGCCGGGAAACACACATTTATACATACCTATCTCTCTCTCTCTATATATATATAGATATTCCTCTTCTTACATTTTTACAAACCCGGACGTGGAGAAAACCCGTCCCCCCCCCCCCCAAAACCGGACTCCCGGGATCTGGGGCTTTGGGACCCTCCGGACGGGCCTCGAAGCAGTCCCCCGGGCCTCGCAGAGCGTTTTGCCAAGCCTTCCCAGCACACCTAGGGCGATCAGGGGGGTCATCGGAGACATCCCAGAGACCCCCAAGACAGCACAAGAGCGCTCCAAGAGTGACCGACGTCACCTCAAGATGGCCCAAAAGGCCTCCAGGGCGGCGCCAAAGAGGCCTCCAAGAGCACTCCCAAGAAGGCCCCGAGAGGCACACATCTGTGATTTTCTGTTGGTTTTTGCTGAATTTGGGGGTTCTCCTCTTTTCGCGTCGCTCCAAGACGGCGGTCTTCTGGGCGTCCGAAGCCGCCTGGGAGGCTCCAACATCGCCCCACAACCATCCGAAAGGGCTTCCAGGCAGTCCAAGAGAGCCCCAAAACGGCACAACACGGGTCCAATATGGCCCTCAGAGAGCCCCATGGCGGCCCAAAATGGCCCCGAAATCGTGACCCGGTCGTTCAGGGAGACCGCGGTTGGAGGCAGGGTGGCCCGAGGAAGTCCCCAGAGGCCCCCAGAATACGCCCAGGAGGCCTCCAGAAGGCCTTAACAAAGCTTGAAACAACTTTTGTGAGGCCCCCAGAGGCTATCCAAGGAGGAGCCTCCGCAAAAAAAAGCTGAGGAGGATGGGAAGAATACGTAGAGTACGGCGAAAAGAAGGGAAAATAAACATGGAGGAAGGATAACGAATAACATTATTATAGCGGCGATGTCGGAAAAGGCAACAAAGAGTTATCTCTAAATTGTCGGCTTGACCTTCCTGCTATTCTGCCTGCGTGCCAAACATCAAGAACCAAGGTGCATGGCGCGAAGCGCCACTGCAGTCTTGTATATATATATATATATATACACAAGAATGCTCAAAAAATCGTCCCCCTTCGATTTTTGTTTGGCTATTTTGGAACTTTCTCCTGTAGAGGGACACGCCCGACTTCAGGCGAGGGCGGAAGCACACGAGGGCCTTCGGCCCCTCCAGGGGCCCCAGGGCTGGCCGAGGTCGGCGCCGCGCTGCTCACGCCGCCCTCACGCGGAGGCCAGAAGGCGTCGTCGTCGTCGTCGTCGTCGTCGTCGGCGTCGGCCGCGGCGGCGGCGTCATCGTCGGCGCCCGTCGTCGTCCTCGTCGGCGCCGTCGTCCTCGTCCTCGTCGGCGGCGGCGGCGGCGTCCTCGTCGTCGTCGTCGTCGGCGCCCGCCGTCGTCGTCGTCGACGGCGGCGGCGTCGGCGTACGACCCTCACATGGAGGCGTGGAGGAAGAGCGCGCGGCGTAAGACGAAGCCAGGACGTGGACAAAATCGGGTGCGGATAAGTCGAGAATCTCTGAGATTCGGCGGCTCTGGAAGGTGTCTCGAGCGCCGCGGCCCGCTCAGAGCGCCCTGGAACGCTCTGAGAGCGTTCTGGAACGCTCTGGAACGGATTTCTCCTCGTCCGAGCCCCGTCCGAGGCTCGCCTTGGGGGGAGGGCCGGTAACGACTGTTTCGCGTCAGAGCGAGGGCTCCAAACTTCGAGCTCTGCGCTGCGCTAATACCGTCGCGCCCTCGCGCCGCCCCCCAGGGAGAAGAGGAGTATGAGGAATCGGAGCCGAACCGCGAAGCGCAAAGCCCGATACAGTCGAGCTTGGTTGGAGAGGACACGCGAGAGGACACAAGACCCTTCCGAGGGCCGCATTGCCACAGGAACGTAGAAGACATGGGTCGCGAAGCACAGGGCACCAGGGTACCCTTGAGTTGGCAGGGGCCGACCTCCTAAGCTTGGCTGCGAGCGAAGGGGGGAAATTAGAAAGAGAAGGCCTTCTCAGAAGACGGCGGGACTTCTCAACAGCCCTCGCGCCTTCTGAGGAAATTGTTTTGTATTCAGGGAAGGCTTGGAAAACTTCTCAGAAGGCTGGGGGACTTCCGAGCCTTCTGAGAAGGCCTTCTCCTTCTCATTTCCCCCCCTCGCCCACCGCCGATAAGCAAACTCGGCTGTAAACACTTCGCGCCGCGCCCTCCCACGGAGGCAAAGAGGACGCGCGCGCGCGCGGCATCGCGCCCGATGCCGATGCCTCGCGGCGCGGGCACCAGCGGCGGGAGCCCAGAGGAGTCCTGGGCGGAGGTCCTTCCTGACCCGTGCGCTCTGCCTCCTCTTTCCCCTCCTCCTCCTCCTCCTCCTCCTCCTCCTCCTCCTCCTCCTCCTCGTGATCCTCCTCCCTTTCTTCTCCTGCCCCTCCTCCTCCTCCTCCTCCTTTTTCCCTACCTAGGCTCTGCCTAGAAGGGTTCTTACTCTCTTTGCTTAAAGGGGCCGGGCAGTGCTAATCGCCCCGGGCGGTTCCCCCAGTCCCCTGGGACCCAAGCTAAAGCAACAGCAAAGGTAAAAGCAAACGCGCGCTCCCCCCAGTTGCGCTCCCTGGGTGCCAAGCAAAAGCAAAAGCAAAGGCACAAGTTAAGGCAAAAGCGAAGGCAAAACAAACTCATAGCATAGCATAGCATAGCATAGCGCAGCATAGCATAGTGCATACTAGCATAGCATAACATAGCATAGCGCAGCATAGCATAGCCTAGCCTAGCCCAGCATAGCATTGTGCAGCATAGCATAGCATAGCATAGCATACCATTGCATAGCACAGCACAGCACAGCATAGCAGAGCATAGCTGAGCATAGCAGAGCATAGCGCAGCACAGCATCCACTAACCGCTCCTACTAATGTTGCTTTCCTAGAGGCTCCAACTCCTAGGTCGGGTCGCACCGGGATAATTTCTCCTGCCCTCCTCCTCCTCCGCCTCCTCCTTTCTTCTCCTGCCCCTCCTTCTCCTCCTCCTTTTTCCTGCTCCTCCTCCTTTCTTCTCCCTCCTCCTCCTCCTCCTCCTCCTCGTGTTTCCCCCCACCCCATGAGCTCCGCGGGTGGCATAAATGGCAAGTGGGTCGCGCGTCGGCCTGGCAGAAAAAATAGACCCCAGCGCCACCCCGCGGGGCTCCAGGTGACCTCGACGAGCTGCGTCGCGCCGCTCGGGGAAGCGCGCTCCTCCTTTTCATCCTCCAGTTCTCCACCGCCTCCTCCTCCTCCTCATCATCCATGTCCTCCTCCTTTGGGATCCACCTCGTCGTGTCCCTCGTTATCTCTCATCCCCTTTCATATCCTCCTCCTCCTCCTCCTCATCATCATCATCACCATCATCATCACCAACAAGAGCAACACTCATGATCATCAACAACAACCTTATCAGCATCACCATCACCATCATCATCATCATCATCATCATCACCATCATCATCATCATCATCATCATCACCACCATCATCATCATCAGCATCATCATCATCATCACCATCACCATCACCATCACCATCACCATCACCATCACCATCACCATCATCATCATCATCATCATCATCATCATCATCATCATCATCATCATCATCATCATCACCATCATCATCATCATAATCATCATCATCAGCATCATTATCAGCATTATCGTCGTCAACATCACCCGCATCATGATACTAAAACTACGTCTACGAATCCTTACACCAGACATTATAGCCAGAGTGCAGAATCCCCAAACAGGGTTTTTAGACTCACTGCGGTTTCCAAGGTCGATTGCGTGCCCGTCCAGTGCGGGCTGGCATGGCATGTTAAAACATGCCTCCTCCTCCTCCTCCTCCTCCTCCTCCTCCTCCACCTCCTTTTCATCCCGAACGGCATCTCGGAGCCCAGTTGCGAGAATGTCTCCAGCCTAACGGGCTGGACCACCTCGCGCGCGGCATTTCGGACCCCAGAGTTGCGACGATGTCTAGGGCGAAACGTGCTGCGAGGAAGTCTCAGGCGAAACGGGCCGGACCACCTCGAGCGCGGCGTCTCAGAGCTCCGAGTTGCGGGGGCCTCCTGGGGCCTCCTGGGACCTCCTCGTGAACTCCTGGGGCTTCCTCCTGGGCCTCCTGTGGCCTCCTGGACCCCACCTGGGGCTTCCTGGAGCCTCTTGGGCTGGACCACTTCTTGCGCGTCATCTGGGAGCTCAGAGTTGCGAGAATGTCTTGTGCGAAACAGGCCGGACCACCTTGCGCACGGCATCTCAGAGCTCGGAGTTGCGAGAATGTCTTGTGCGAAACGGGCCGGACCACCTCGCGCAGGGCATCTCAGAGCTCAGAAGTTCGAGGATGTCTCAGGCGGGCTCCCGGGGTCCCGGGGAGGATATGTAACATGTGGTCTTCTGGGCCCCCAGGCTGGACCACCTCTTCATCCACCTGGCATCTCAGAGCTGCGAGGATGTCTTGCGAGGATGTCTCAGGCGAAACGGGCCGGACCACCTCGCGCAAGGCATCTCAGAGCTCAGAGTTTCGAAAGCGAAACGGCCGGACCACCCTGCGCAACGGCCAATCTCGAGATGTCTCAGTCTTCGAGGATGTCTCAGGCGAAACGGCCAATCCCGGCCAACTCAGAAACGGGATGTCTCAAGCGAAACGGCCCAGATCATCAAATTTTGTGAGGATGTCTCTGCTCCGACTTCCCTCGGCCAGAGTTAGCTTCTATCACAACAGCACCCTGTTCAGCAAGCTGTTTGGGGAAAAATCGTGACGTCGGATGTCTGCGGAGGGCGGAAGGCAGGGCGCGCATGGCGGCATCTCGGAGCTTCGCATTGTGAGGATGGCTCGGGAGAAACGGGCTGGACCACCTCGCGTGCGGCATCTCGGAGCTCAGTATTGGAAGGATGCCCCAAGCGAAACGGGCCGTTCTACCTCTCGACTCCCGTTAAGCCCTCTCATGCAACTTCATTCCTCATCCCTCCTCCTTCTCCTTCTCCTTCTCCTCCTCCTCCTCCTCCTTCTCGTCCTCCTCATCCTCCTCCTGCCTGCTCCCTCCTCCTCCTCCTCCTCCTCCTTCTCCTCCTCCTCCGGCTCCGGCACGTTTTGAGACGTCGCTAAAAGGTATATAAAAATCCTGTTTGGGGAACCCTGTCTCGGAGCCCAGAGTTGCGAGGATGTCCCAGGTCGCACCTGGTCGACGAGTAAGCTGTCGGGTCGGCACTGTGAGAGGCTCCACCGCCATGCTGTGAACTCAGAAGCAACTTTAAGAGGAAGCGGGGGAGGGCGCGGAAGCGGGGGGGCATGTCGTGATGGTTCCCTCGGGGATGATATCGAGAGGTACGCGGCGCACGTCTCAAAAGAAAAATCGTGACGTCGGATGCCTGGGGAGGGCGGAAGGCAGTGCGCGCATGACGGATGCTGAGGCGGCAGAAACGACGACGGCGGGGACGGGGAGGCGGAGGCAGAGGCGCAGCAGCGGGAGGCGGGAGGCGGGAGGAGGGAGGAGGGAAGAGGAACCAGGCGGGAAGTGGGAAGAGGGAGGCGGGAGAAGGAATGAGAGAGGTTGTGATTGGAGCTCCTGTGCTACGAAACGTCTCAGGCAGAATGGGCCAGACCATCTCGCGCGCAACATCTTCGAGCCTCGCATTGCGAGGATGGCTCAATCGAAACGGGCCGGACCACCTCGCGAGCGACATCTTGGAGCTCAGTATTGGAAGGATGTCTCAAACGAAACGGGCTGGACAATCTTTCGCACACGTTTTGACAAGTCCACATCGCACTCGCTTCCCGTTAGGTCCTCTCCTGCAACTCCCTTCCTTCTCCTCCTCCTCCTCCTCCTCCCCCTCCTCCTGCTTGCTCCCTCATGCACATCATCCGCCTCCTCCTTCTCCCTTCCATCTCCTTCTCTCCTCCTCCTCCTCCTCCTCCTCCTCCTCCTCCTCCTCGACCTCCTCTTCATCCCGAACGGCATCTCGGAGCCTAGAGTTGCGAGGATGTCTCCAGCGTAACGGGCTGGACCACCTCGCGCGCGGCATCTCGGACCCCAGAGTTGCGACGATTTCTCGGGCAAACGTGCTGCGAGGAAGTCTCAGGCGAAACGGGCTGGACCACCTCGAGCGCGGCGTCTCAGAGCTCCGAGTTGCGGGGGCCTCCTGGTGCCTCCTGGGGCCTCCTGGGGACCTCCTGGGGCTTCCTCCTGGGCCTCCTGTGGCCTCTGAACTCCACCTGGGGTTTCCTGAAGCCTCTTGGGGCTCCCAGGGTGGATATCAAACCTGTGGCCGTTTGGGCCTCTCCAAATGGAGGGGGGGGCACAAGAGCAGGAAGAATCAACGAATCGACACCGGATGTGTATTAACTTGACACGTTCTGATAGGCGGCCTCCTGGGGCCTCCTGGGAGCCTCCTAGGAATCTCCTGGGGACCCCTGGGGCCTGTCCTGGGCGTCCTGCGGCCTCCTGGAGCTCTCTGGGGCCTCCCCCTCCTCCTGCCTGCTCCCTCATGCACATCATCCGCCTCCTCCTTCTCCCTTCCATCTCCTCTCCTCCTCCTCCTCCTCCTCCTCCTCCTCCTCCTCCTCCACCTCCTCTTCATCCCGAACGGCATCTCGGAGCCTAGATTTGCGAGGATGTCTCCAGCGTAACGGGCTGGACCACCTCGCGCGCGGCATCTCGGACCACAGAGTTGCGACGATTTCTCGGGCGAAACGTGCTGCGAGGAAGTCTCAGGCGAAACGGGCTGGACCACCTCGAGCGCGGCGTCTTAGAGCTCCGAGTTGCGGGGGCCTCCTGGGGCCTCCTGGGACCTCCTGGTGACCTCCTGGGGCTTCCTCCTGGGCCTCCTTGGGCCTCCTGTGGCCTCCTGAACTCCACCTGAGGTTTCCTGAAGCATCTTGGGGCTCCCAGGGGGGATATCTAACCTGTGGCCGCTTGGGCCCCTCAAAATGGAGGGGGGGCACAAGAGCAGGAAGAATCAACGAATCGACACCGGATGTGAATTAACTTGACACGTTCTGATAGGCGGCCTCCTGGGGCCTCCTGGGAGCCTCCTGGGAATCTCCTGGACACCCCTGGGGCCTGTGGGGCCTGTCCTGGGCGTCCTGCGGCCTCCTGGGGCCTCCTGGGGGCTCCTGGGGACCTCCTGGAGCTTCCTCCTGGGCCTCCTGTGGCCTCCTGAAATCCACCTGAGGTTTCCTGAAGCCTCTTGGGGCTCCCAGGGGGATATCTAACCTGTGGCCGTTTGGGCCTCTCCAAATGGAGGGGGGGCACAAGAGCAGGAAGCATCAACGAATCGACACCGGATGT